CAACTACAAACTTGTTTGAAATTTAATGTCGAATATTTATTAGTTGATCATTTTTTCCTACATGCACTTCTAAAAGGGGTATTTAAGGAATTAGAGAAATAGACGACGAAAATGGGAGAGAGTGAAGGTAATAAAGATGAGAAGGGCACCCCCTTGTAGTCTGGAAAATGGGGAGTGAATGGGTGATTGATGACGTGGCAGGAGACTCAAACAACCCTTTTATTGTCTGTTGGCAAGAGATGGCAGCTGCGTAGATGGACAGATAATAAGGAATGACCTTTGGGAAGGAGAGAGAGAGAGAGAGAGAGAGAGAGAGAGAGAGAGAGAGAGAGAGAGAGAGAGAGAGAGATTTAGAAGTGGAAAGGAGAGATTTGAGATCAAAATGATCAGTTTAGGCTAAAAATTACAGTTATGAGATGGAAAATAAGGTTTGGGAAGGTCTAAATCTCATATTTAAGTGGAAAAACTACTTTTGAGGTCGAAAATGGCGGATTTCAGCGTCAAATTCACATTTTTAGTAGAAACTAGGTCATTTTAGGTAGAACCTAAGCTTTTGGAGTGTGAAATAACAATTTTTGCATGAAACACTGCCTTGGAACTTGGATTTCGAAGCTATGAATGGATTCGAAGCTGTGGAGAATTGCACAGTGAGAAGGAAAATCTTTAAAGGCGCATATCTGTGTTAGGAAAAGAGGTATCAGAAAGTTGTCAACTACAAACTTGTTCGAAATTCAATTTTAAATTACCTATTAGTTGATCATTTTTCCCTAGGTGCACTTCTAAAAGGGTTATTAAAAAAATTAGACAATTGAGAGAAACAGACGACAAACATGGAAGGAATGAAGGGCACCCCATTGTAGTAAGGAGGATGGGGAGTGAATAGGTGGTGGATGACGTGGCAGGAGACCCAACAAAAATTGGTTATGAGGTCAACACGCAACACCCCAGCCCTGTTGTAGTCGTCAGTAGTGTGGTCCTCCCCTCTCATACAGGAAAAGGGGGGGGGGGGGCAAGTGACAGAAGGATTACCATTATCCTGTCAATCTCACCTTTTTTATTATGATGAATAAATGAATAAGAAGAACAATAGAAAATTAGAGTTTTATCACCCTAGGATCTACCGCAGCTAGCGATGGGAAATCCAAGATTTCTTGGGGAAGGGAGGGGGGGGGCCTTAACTCAAAGCCGTGTATCTCGGTTAGGAA